CACCATTGGGAGGGTTGATGATAATTCTCCTAAAGAAACACTGAGAACTACAGACATCTACAACCATTGGGAGGGTTGATGATAATTCTCCTACAGAAACACAGAGAACTACCGACATCTTACACACCATTGGTAGGGATGATGATAATTCTACTACAGAAACACTGAGAACTACAGACATCTACAACCATTGGGTGGGTTGATGATAATTCTCCTACAGAAACACTGAGAACTACAGACATCTTACACACCATTGGGAGGGATGATGATAATTCTCCTATAGAAACACTGAGAACTACCGACATCTGACACACCATTTGGAAGGTTGATGATAATTCTCCTACGGCAACACTGAGAACTACATACATCTAACACCATTGGGAGTGTTGGTGATAATTCTCCTACAGAAACACTAAGAACTACCACCATTCAGAGGGTTGATGATAGTTCTCCTACAGAAACACTGAGAACTACAGACATCTACAACCATTAGGAGGGTTGATGATAATTCTCCTACAGAAACACTGAGAACTATCGACATCTGACACACCATTGGAAGGTTGATGATAATTCTCTTACAGAAACACTGAGAACTACAGACATCTACAACCATTGGGAGTGTTGATGATAATTCTCCTACAGAAACACTGAGAACAACCGATATATAACACCATTGGGAGGATTTGTGTTGATTCTCCTACAGAAACACTGAGAACTACAGACAACTGACACACCATTTGGAGGGTTGATGATAATTCTCCTACAGAAACACTGAGAACTACAGACATCTACAACCATTGGGAGGCTGATGATAATTCTCCTACAGAAACACTGAGAACTACAGACATCTACAACCATTGGGAGGGTTGCTGATAATTCTCCTACAGAAACACTGAGAACTACAGACATCTTACCCACCATTGGGAGGGTTGATGATAATTCTCCTACAGAAACACTGAGAACTACAGACATCTTACACACCATTGGGAGGGTTGATGATAATTCTCCTACAGAAACACTGAGAACTACCGACATCTTACACACCATTGGGAGGGTTGATGATAATTCTCCTACAGAAACACTGAGAACTACCGACATCTTACACACCATTGGGAGGGTTGATGATAATTCTCCTACAGAAACACAGAGAACTACAGACAGCTACAACCATTAGGAGGGTTGATGATAATTCTCCTACAGAAACACAGAACTACCGACATCTTACACACCATTGTGAGGGTTGATGATAGTTCTCCTACAGAAACACTGAGAACTACCGACATTTTATACCACTGGGAGGTTTGATGGTAATTCTCCTACAGAAAGATCGGAAACTTTTGACATCTGACATACCATCGGGAGGACTGGTACAAACCTTCGTGCTATTGCAGATGAAATAAAAAAAATCAAAACATTCATGAAATATTTAGACGTGTTAAATAAATTTGCGATTATTATTGAGAAAGGTAATATAAAAAATGTTATACCTCTTGATAAAAATCTGTAAGCCATATGTTTAGTAATTTTTACATATCATATTTAACCCAGGTCTCAGATACAGGACGAGAAAGTAAAATGTATTTGTAATTAATCTAAGCTTAGCATATATTTTTCAAATTGTATTTCCGCATCATCAGGTTTGATATTCGTTTTAAAAATCCACCGCGTGTCAGTGCAAACGCATTAGTTGATCATGATTAACATTTATCCATGGGGTATTAATGTAAAAACACCTTAGTAATTTGTTTAGAACTTTTTATGTATTAAAACTAGCAAGTCATGCGGAAACACGCAAAACACCTTTGCTGGCATCTATGCTTGATAGTTAGGGTCACACGTGTTGATACAAACGCAGTCAAATACCGTGATACAGAAGAGAAAAACAACAGAAACACACACTTGATAGAAAATGTAGTTTCCTATGGAAAACAAATATCTAGGCAGTGAGTAAAGTTTTGAATTTTTATACAATCATGACACAGATTTAATGTGAAATATCACATCAATGAATCCTATTAATCCGAGGTGACACGTAAGGGGAATCAAAAGTAACTCAAAATATCTCCGATTGAATACCCTGTCTACTTAACAGATTACCAATAGGCCTTATAGTCGTCATCTTCATAATGATTTAGTGGTGTGGCTTCAAATATCGCGTTAGTTGTCAATTATTTCGTTTCCTTTCTTGACTTCTGACAGCATCCCAAATTGACCTGACATGTGTATATTGTGCGTTTTGCCGTCGGATTTTTGTTGTTGTTTTTATGTTTTTTTTGTTCGTGTGCTTTGTTTTAAATTCTTGGAGATCTTGTTGTTTTATTTCAAGCTACAAGCTTATTTCCACGTGGTCTCTGCTGACATAATGCGGGAATATTCTGATGAGATACGTCATATTTAATGTTTTGTTTGCTCTGCACTTTTTGGATTTTCTGACATGATATGCCTTAGTTTAAACTTGTATATCCTAGTATTGCACTTTGAAATATTATTTTTCTGATAAAACATGACCTGTCTCTATTTCCTACACCTGGCAAAAGTAACTGTGGATGTGCTATTGTATCTCCTCGTTTTTGGGTAGAGCATTCACATCTTTTGAAAATGACTTGATTTTCTAATATGACGATAAAGGAAGGTAAAGAGTAGTTGAAGTCTCTATGGGGAGGTGCTTTCAGTAATTGTTCGTCGATTCGTCGTTATATTGATGATGTTTACAAATTAGTATGTCCAAATTTCTACAACATAAATGTGTTGGATTAAAATTTCATTGAAATAGTTTATTGGTTATGGTTTTACATTAAAATAATCCCGTTCATCACAGTGGTGGGATCGTTATTGTTAAGTAGCACTTCAAGACATTGAAATGTAGAGTTCAAACACGGATCATTAATTAAATGGAGTATAAATGATACCTACACATTGATTACAGCTGGTTGTAAAGGTAAATTTATTGATGTTTTAGGTGAATGTCGGGCCTGCAGCGATTAGGTGCTTGGTAAGAAATATTATTGAATGTACTTCTAGGTATGATATATAATACCAGACACGGGATAAGATACAAGGTGTGGAATTTAACCAAGTGTAAACATTTGTTATAACGGTGTTTACAGTTCTCCCTGAAAATACTACAACATTTTATAACACAACACTTATTGTGAGGAAGGGCAATGCACAATATATTACCTAATTAATTTTCAATGCACACACACGTTTGATTAGATAAGTAATAACTTAAAGATCACATTGTGTATAGTCACATCGTATTAAGTCATTCTTATTTCAAATTAGGTTCTTTCTTAATTAGATTCAAAATGAGTATTCTCTCGACAGTTTGTGTTCAACCATCTGACAGGGCTGTTTATGATATAAATATACATGCTAAAACAGTGTGTATTTGATCTCAGTATAATATCTGACTAAGGTATGTGTACTGATATAGATATACAGCGTATTAACGATGACGTTACAGTTGAACAAGTGTGAACCATATACCGCACCTATTTAATCTACTATTATAAAGTCAAAACTATTTAACTTCTCCGTTTCATTTTTGTATGATTTTTCTCTTCTTTTTTTACGTTGAAACTTTGATGTTGAAGGAGAAAAAACAATTAAAACATCTTTATATCATATTAACAAAATAACTTATCATTAAGGAAAGCTACTGGATCACCAAAATAAACGCGACTTTTTATACCAAGAAATCGTATTTAGAATAAGCGGTGAGATTGAGGTCGTTCAGGCATGACCTATAAACACTATCTCTCCAGTAGATAGTCATTGATGACGTCACTGCTATAATATCGGCTTTATGTGGTTCATCGAAGGTAAATATGAGATTGATTAGCGATAGTCAACGGATATACTCAAAGCTGCTTGAGTCACACTTTAGTACTGTTTGATAATTAAAAATACATCTGTAAAACTAAGTCAAAATACTATCATATAAAGTGTTCGTCACGCAAAGTTAATGGACGGTAAATACAGTGTGTTTAATGGGGTTTTCTCTTTTTACGACTGTTTATATAGGGAATAATGAAAAGTATGTTTTTTTATTCAATCAGTGATTTATCATGAATTTATTGTATACTTATGAAGTTTTTACGCTACACCTCGAACGTTTCATTAGACAAGCAGTACAGTTCAGAGTGTGGGTTGATTATATACTAAAGCTTCGTAAATGCACCATAACCACCTACACACAATATGATGTATGGTGACATTAATGTGTTTTCACTACTGGACATTTATACGGGAGTGACCAACGGTCACCGACGAGAAGGTGATGTCTTACGACGCTGAAGGACCTCAGTAACACCTGTAAACAGAACTTCGCAGTTAACAGCGGTTTTCAATAGCACGTATACCTAATCCATCAGAGAGACAAGGAAATGATTAACGGTCATTAACAAGCGTAACTTGGACATCTCACTGTAGCATTCTCAAAGCGTTTCATTGACCTGCATCACAAAGTAACACATGACTTCAACATCCAATCCAATGGCTTCAACCCAGGACAGAATTGCCTTATTTGTATCCGCCTTTGTCTATATGAATGAGCTGGAGTACTGGTAATTACATTAACACGGCAATCACTTACGTTCGGCTACAGACATTGAATCGTATGCCTCCAGAGATACTCAACGTGTGATTCCGTGACAGGTGATGTTCTGCTGTAAGGAAACGTTTAGCCATTGGATTTATAAATCACTGCGCTATCTAAGGATGGAAGATAAACGTTCTGAAATTTACTTTAGGCACACGTACTGTGCAGCAGCTAGTACTTGATGACCTGTATTACATTTCTCATGGATAGGTTTTTTCAAGGAAGTAAAATTAATCCAGGCTACTGTGTTCAACACATCAATAAGAGATGATCTTAATTAATTAATAAATGTTTATTACTGTTAATTTGTTCAAGAAATATGAGCACTGAACGTGTTTGGTCATTTTGGCGTTGGCCATTGTTAATCAACTATACAAATATTTTCCTAGGTATTTTTATGACTATAGGAAGTAATGCATCACACCTTCAAAGAGTGAAAAGGCAGGATTTCTTTGGAGGAACTAAACCAGAGGGAGCCACATGTTTGTTTGATCCATGTGTAAATATAGATAATTATTGTAAAAATTCAGGTACGTGTTTTCTCAACACCACAACATGTATGGTCAAATGTTTTTGCGCACCAGGGTATACGGGATCAAAATGTAACTACCTCATTTCTCCGAGTACCGAGTCCCCTCCGTCCACCGTACCTACTTCAATGTCACCATCTCCTGCGATAGTCAACCAGAACATGTCTAGCACAACGTTACGGCCTATCGAAGAACGGGAATGTATTCAGGGATTTGAGTGTATCCATGGTTATTGTGACAAACATTTCGGATTTAAGTGTGCGTGTGATTACGGATGGACAGGGGCATTTTGTGACACAATGAAATGTCCACTGCAATGTCGAGTTGATGAAAAATGCATGTTGATAAATGGAACGTTTTACTGTATTAAACCGGAAACAGAAATCCAACAGTCTAATGCATCGACAACGGAAATGACGTCAGACAACATTATAACATGCGAATGTGATACTGGCTCTTCAGGAGGATTATGTGATAACAAATGTTGTTTAGATTGTTCACCAAATGGTGTTTGTCTGAAGAATGACCAAGGTCAAGAATACTGCAAATGTAAAGACGGAAAGGAAGGCAGATTCTGTGAAAGTCCAGAGAGAGGCCTTTTATCTGAATATTCAAAAGAGAATGCATGTTCTCAGCATTATACTTTAAGACCTTTAAGTGTACGCGAATGCGTCCCCAATTTTGTTTGTGTTTATGGACAATGTAAGAAGGCTGAGATGAATGAACATGGTTTACAGCTTGCCTGTGAGTGTGACGACGGAGGAATAGGGGGACTGTGTCATATTCAATGTTGTCTCAAGTGTGGGGAACACGGTGAATGCAAAACGTATCTTAATGGTACAGAGTACTGCTACTGCGAATACAACTACGAAGGCGAATTCTGCGAAAACAAAATTATTCTAGAGGGTAAGTTATTCATTTCTATCTCGCTTTATCTTATAAAAATGGTATTTTAGTACATCCTGCATATATATTTGTAAGTCCTCACAGTTGATTCTTCACCATTCCAAGAACTGAGAAATATTTAGGATTATTTTCGGTATTCTGTACTGAATATTCATTTCCAATATGCTTAACATTGTTGTATTTCTTTTCGGTTGATATTCAAAGATATGTTTACCCTGGTTACATTATTGATATCAAAATTAGAAGAAATTCGTTTCAGAGCGGTTTTATACTGACACAACTTATTGGTGTAATACTGACACGACATATTGGTGTAATACTGACACGACTTATTGGTGTAATAATGACACAACTTATTGGTGTAATACTGACACGACTTATTGGTGTAATAATGACACGACTTATCGGTATAATACTGACACGACTTATCGGTATAATACTGACACGACTTATCGGTATAATACTGACACAACTTATTGGTGTAATTAGGAAATGACTTATCGGTGTAATACCGACAGGACTTATCGGTGTAATACTGACACGACTTATTGGTGTGATACCGACAGGACTTATCGGTGTAATACTGACACGAGTTATCGGTGAAATACTGACACGACCTATTGGATGTAATACTGACACGACTTATCGGTTTAATACTGACACGAGTTATCGGTTTAATACCGACAGGACTTATCGGTGTAATACTGACACGACTTATCGGTATAATACTGACACGAGGTATCGGTTTAATACTGACACGAGTTATCGGTGTAATACTGACACGACTTATTGGTGCAATACTGATACGACTTATCGGTTTAATACCGACAGGACTTATCGGTATAATACTGAAACGACTTATCGGTTTAATACCGACAGGACTTATCGGTGTAATACCGACAGGACTTATCGGTATAATACTGAAACGACTTATCGGTTTAATACCGACAGGACGTATCGGTGTAATACTGACACGACTTATCGGTGTAATACTGACACGACTTATCGGTGTAATACTGACACAACTTATCAATGTAATACAGACACGGCTTATCGGTGTAATACTGACACTTCGACTTTGATTGATATGACACACGTTGACAGAAACATAACTTTTTAGTACCTTTCTCCTCTGTTGTTTACAGTAACCAACCATAAAAGATGCCAAATTAAATACATGATTGCTACTTGTCTTCATATGGTATACAGCTATGATGTACTGTAAGTTGCATAGCTAACGCTAGTGGGTGAGTTAAAACCATGCAGGAATTGTGAGACAATTTCAGAGATACAACTTAATGTGCATGAAAAGCATTTCTCATTTCGGCAAACGAAACATAATTTTGAAAAAAAACACACGCAGGGCATTCCCGTATTTATAGACCTTTATGTGTGCTAATACATACTTTGAAATAATTAGCATAAGGCGTGCTGGAAATACTTCCCACCCTGTAGCAATAACAGCTTCCGCTACACTTTCCTATTCTTATGGCCTTTTACATTATGACTTAACATGTTGCCTGGTGTTGGTAGTATCAATTTAGGTTTGTTTTGTGATATTATAGATAAAGCTAACAGCAGTGACTTCTGTGCATAATTTATTGTATAGAAGTATGATCGATTACAGGAATAAAGAGTGCGTTACTAAACTTGCCGCGGCCATTGAGAGCTTCATCCTGCTTCCATGAACCATTACTGGACATAGATGTTGACATTTAAGTGAAGCGTAGACTGTTTTTGCTAATCGTACTTTCTAATAAAGACATCAGGAGCTTAAAAAACATATGTAAATATGGTGCTTGCATTATTTTCATATCAGGTCTGAACTGAAATCTTTGCCCTCGTTTTCGATTTATCGCAATGAAGTTAGGTACACTCATGCTGCAGTTTATCACCCAAAAAAAGAATATGCGGAAAAACAAATCGCGAAAACGCACTTTTTTGTTCTCTTGAATTGCTTTGTCAGCTCAACGAAGATCAAAACCAATATCTCTATTAAATCTATAATTTAGTCAGAGAGAAAAAGACATTATTGTTCCGCGTTGAATAACGATCAAGCTAGCAATGCTTGTTAAAATACGAAAGATATTTTGTCAAGCGACGTATACTCTAAAATTGTTATAATCAATCGGAGGGTTTTACGCCTGTTGGTCGCAATGTTGTGACACTTGACTAAATCAACCAATACGAGAACGGATTAAGTCGTGTAATCTCCAATCTATGTCAGTGATAATCACAAGCTGATGTGTGTCTGAGGCAATGCCACACGGTCTGTGCTAGAGAATGGTAAACATCGTAACATCCTGTTTCGTTGAAATAGTGTTGGGTGATCTCAGTTCAATCATAATTACATTATACCTAGTCTTGTATCTGAGGAGTAAAATGACTTGATTCGTCTGAGAGGACTTAGAACACCTGAGCATGTTCAAAATGTAGTCATGCTGAATACCTGATAAAAAAAGGAAGCGTGCATCCAAAAATATCTCAAACTCTAACATGATTTCTAAGGTCCTGAAATATCCTTTCGTCTGCTCAAGGTTGTTTTGTGTTTTGATTACATTCATTCTGATATCGAGTATAAAATCTACCAACTTTCATCAGAGGATAAAACGACAAATCACAACAGCATCACAAAATTCATCTTGGGATGGTCATCCGTATAAAAATGTTTGTTCGTCAAATTACAAATTGCGTCCCCTTCACGAAAGGCAATGTGAGAAGATGCCACAGCTTATTTGTGAATTTGGTATTTGTGAAACAATAGATGAGAATGGTTTCATTGAGTTCAGTTGTCTGTGCGACTTTGGAGCAGTAGGACCAATGTGTGAGTTTAAATGTTGTCTTGAATGTGCACATGGGGAGTGTAATTTATACCCTAATCGAACTGAATATTGCAAATGCCGCACGGGATACTCGGGTATGACTTGTGAAATCGAGAAAAAAGTAACGTCTTCGTCACAACCAGAAACTACGGAGAGTCCTTCGTTAATCAATTACCACGCTGAGAACCATTCCTGTTCTACTAACTATTCGATAAGACCCCTAGACGAGAGACGGTGCAATGAACACTTGATATGCCTATACGGTCGCTGTGAAATCGAAGAAAATGAAAATTTTATAGAGTTTAGTTGTTTATGCGATGATGGTTCGTACGGACACCTTTGTAAGACAAAATGTTGTTTAAAGTGTATGCATGGTATTTGTGCTCTATTTCCCAACCAGACCGAATATTGTAAATGTAACCCCAGCTACACGGGTAAATCATGCGAGTATTCCAGAGATCCCATACCATCTCCAGATTTGAATGATATTTCTGATACCACAAATGGATCTGTTTCGGGTATTTTATCTGGGAACCACTCTTGCTCTCCTAGTTACACCTTTAGATCTCTAGAACAGCGAGTTTGCATTCTTAACAACCTCACGTGTCTATACGGTATTTGTGAAAAGACGATCGAAGAAGATGTAACTTACCATAGATGTGTGTGTGATAAAGGGGCTTACGGTCTACAGTGCGAGAACCAATGCTGCAATTTGAAATGCGAACATGGAGAATGTGCGGAACATGAGAACAATGGCACTGTCTACTGTAATTGTCACGATGGCTACAAAGGACTTTCTTGCGATATTCCTTCTGGGTACTTTGGCAATTTTTCCTCGAATCATTCTTGCTCTGCCAACTACACGCTTAGACCATTAGACCAGCGGTTATGCATACCAAACAAACTCATATGTTTATATGGTTTTTGTCAGAGGACACTTGCTGATGACCTCCTTCACTTTAATTGTTCTTGCGATAGAGGAGCATATGGACCACATTGTGACAAGCAATGTTGTAATTTGAATTGTGAGCATGGCTATTGTCAACAATTAAAGAATGGACCGGTATATTGTAAATGTAACGTAGGATATACAGGACTTTCCTGCGAAACTTCTTCAATAGTCACTCAAACGACAGGTAATCTTATGTGTAATTCTAAAAAAAAACGAATATGATAGAGTTTCTTTTCGTGTGGTGAAATGCAACATTTCAGACATTTCTAACGAGGTGTCATTAGTTTTCGAAAGCTATAATATTTCCCTTTCAATGATTTCATTTTATCTGTCTTTTCAATGTGGTGTTATGATGAAAATCAAATTCATTTAATGTGCTATTTACAAGTGTGTCGTTGGTTCAATTTTCAAAATTGCAGTTGGTAGACACTGCTGGTTGACTATTTGTCCCCAAAGTTTGCCATAATAAGCATTCCACGTTTTAATTCATTCGAATAATGACACAGTTCAGAATATACACATGTACTTGACGTTTTTTCTAAAAGCATCAGGTATGGAATTTATAATATTTATCGAATCAAGGGACTAGTACACCTCTCCATCTAGAGTTTGACATTTCTTACATCACTTTTGATCTTCCTCAGTCACTTCATGGTTAAGGATTTAGGCCCCCAGCACTGATGAGTCCTAAAAGGAACTCATTTGAACTAAAAAACGTTCCATCTTGTAAATATTTCATTTCCAGACATTAACGACTGTACTTCACCGAACATGTTCACAAATTACAATCGCTTTGATATTCAAAACTCGTTTTCCATATCGTGATTTCCGTTATAGATGTCGCAAGCTTACAGAAAATAATAAACACAAGGTTTCGAGAAATGCAATTCGACGAAAACCACGTGGTAAAGTCAACATCAAGGTCTAAATAAAAAAAAACAAGATTCTTTCGGTGGAACCAAGTTAGAAGCACTCATTGCTATACCTGGTGGTTCCGTCTTAGCTGCTATGTTTCTTCTTTTGTGAACGTTCAAATATTTGGATCTTATTTTGATGTACTTATCGGGTTGAAGCCATTTTTCTTTCCATAAGACCTTTTTTATATTCTTTCATCTTTCTAGACTTTTTATCTGTGTTTCGAGCATACATCATTTATATTTTACAAGAGAAGACAAATTATTTATTTTTAACTTGTGTCTGATCCCATTGTTATATTTTCAAAAAAATATGTTTAAATCAAATCATATCTGTTCAAATCTCTCTTTTTTCTCACAATATTTTTTATATTTTCATCATTACCGTGTCAAAGTCCTAACCCGATTCAGTTGTGTGCATTTATTTCACTTTATTAACAATATGGCTATTTTCATTTCTTAAAATTAAATAATCAAATGATGTTTTATAACTTTTTTCCAGGAAAGAAGACGGACAGGTGGTATCTATGGGTGGTAGGAGTATGCGCCGGTGTGCTTGGACTTCTTATTATGGCTCTTGTCATCATACCTTACTGGATGTGGCACAATAGGGTCACAGTCATAATGAAAATTGTCCACTACTTCCAGCCTTATGAAGACGATGGTCAGTAAAACTATATCCTATAAGCAATTAATATCATTGTTGTTGGTAATATTACTTCCTCATAAATATGAATATGGCGTAAGAAGTTTACATTGGTATACCAATTTCCAAACTGCACGTTTGCTTTAATTATTTTTTAAGAAGATTTTTTATTCGTTATTGATTCGTCTCCTGCATCGAAGTGAAAATAACACATTAATGAGTTTTTTTAATGTATCTTTGTAATACTTTTATGGGTACTTAAGGAAATACCATCTTATCCTTTGATAGATTTTCATCATCAATAATGACCAACGTCTATGAAAAAAATTGATTAAAGTCACAAAAATGTTTTTCGATACTGAGTAACGCGGAAATACTTACACACACAAATAGTCATGCCATTATGATAAGAGACTGTCACCCATCCAGTGTAGTGTGTCTATTTCTTTATTGCCTCGACCGCCAGGCACAGTCTAAGCTACAGACTACCAACGGGAACCATCAATCAACATGTCTGCCTTTGTATGAGGAAGTAGGATCTATATTAATAGTTATGTTATACTTTTCTACGCCCGTGGTATGTAATGTTATTAGGTAAAAATACATGTCTCACACGATTATCGCTACAGCCACAAACCATCGGTATACGGGGTCATGTAGTAAAATAAATATGTTTTTGTGTTGTAGTTAATTGGTTTCTTTGTGTATGCCTATCGTATTAAAATAACTAACAATGTTTTATTTTGTTGTCTTATGATGGCGTGTTTCTGCAGTCTACTTATTTCAAGCCGTATTAACATAAGACAACTTTTTGTTATAATAAATAATTCATATGAACAAGTCGTGTTATTGTGCAAACCTCTCGCAAATTTTCGCTAAATTTATGTAGACATAATAATTATCACTCCAAGTCAAGTTACCTGATTACATGTATAGATCAAATTAATTACCTGATCATCGCCACAAGTTTACGTAATTTTGTTACATAATTAGCTTTACATGGTTTTACACGTTTAGTCACTAGTCAGATAGCTTTGGTAATAAAAGTCCGAAATAAAATACGATTTATCATTTTATTTTGTCTATCCTCTATATCATCTGTAAATCATATACACGTAAGAGCTACGCATTTACGATGTAATTTACTAAAATAAGTTTCATTATTATTATGTATTTCGTTCAGGAGTTAGCCATGCAGAAGAAAATTTCATCATTGTCTAATAAGTCAGTATTATTTTATCTTTAAGATGACAGAACATGGGATGCATTCGTTTCATACAAATCTACAGACGTCGATCAGAACTTCGTGCTCCATACGCTGTTCCCGAAATTGGAGAAAGAACTTGGTTTCACGCTGTGTATGCATTTCCGGGACTTCATGCCTGGCGAAAGTGAGTGAAATTAAGTAATAAGCTAAAACTGTTGAATTTTATGCATGGTAAGATGTTGCTTTTTATATACTTTATATATGTTAAGTAATTGTTAAATCTAACACAGCTAGTATAGTCATTCAATTTCATTTTGGTCAATTTATTTCATGTTTTGTTTTTTTCAGTTGCTGACATAACTTTTTCTTTTCATACTGTCCCTTTATTTCTATCTCAGTTTTTTCCTTATGCTATTCCCGTCACCAGTATCAAAAAGCAAATCCAGTTACACCCTTAGGTTTCTAAATTGTGTTATTTCATCTTACCACCCATGTACTGCCTGTGACATATATCGTATATAACAGATTACTCCTTTTTATAACAGATGTGGCAATGACTATTTCATATCTCATTCATACCTCATATGACCATTTTGCCTGGATGTTGATGCATAGAGAAGTATCTTGTTTGGAATTAGATTTTCTCTTTTTGTGTTGGCATTGAAATAAATAGATGTATACCTGTTAGTGAAAATAAGGTCTTATAATTTTAAAAAATGTATTAATTTTTTTCTTGCATTATTGCGTTTGAATATTTTGAATCGTAAAGATCGTCTATATTTTCACTTACATTTTTGTTGTATTTTTCCAGCGATTGCCAATAACATCATAAATGCAGTCAACAACAGTCGGCGAACTATCCTTATACTTACACCCCGATATATTGAGAGTGAATTCACAAGATTCGAATACCAGGTTGCCCAACACGAAATGTTAAAACGGAAACATAGGATTATTCCCATCTTGCTTGAAGATATTACAGACTCCTTGAGTTCTATGGACCCAAATCTGCGACAGATCATCCGATCCGTAACATATATCGAATATCCGGGACAGGACGCTTCAGAAAAAAAAATGAACACATTTTGGAAAAGAATGTCTCTTTCTATGCCCAAAACCAGATCAACTGAAGAACATCAGAAACTGTTGGAAAGCCAAAGCAAAGAATGTGACCGTAGTAGTGTGAATGTCGTATCCACGAACGGTGATATCAGACTATCAAACAATAAAACAGAGACAGAAATGACATCAGTCTCAAATGGAGGCATCCATCCCATTGACAATAGTGAGGTCAATTTTCAGATAGTAGAGGAAAATACAGTTGCGAGCAAGAACGCAAGGAACGAGAGCAATGGCGATTTGTTCAACAAAGCATATATTGATGATTAATAACTAAGGAGTAAGGATAAAAAAAAAAACGTTCCCTTTAATTTGATTTTCTACTACATTCAGTCACTTTCTTGGTTTATCATCACAGATTACAGCCCTCAGAATCACTAACGAGAATCTCATGTAAATTTGATTTCCATGGTGATATTCACTTGAATATCTTTTATACACTGCAACAAACCCTATATTCTTTTCTAAGGAAGGATGTAATTGATGTCATCAGATGTCCTGTTATTGGATCAAAGGTGTTTAGTCTATGAAATAACACCATATTACAGTAACAGTGTCATAACCTCAGCATTGGTTTACCAATATCGGAAACGATCTTGTTCCACTACATCACAAATTTCATCACAATGTCTCCATGACCTTTAAGTGATTGAACAAAAAGCACACAAGATTATGAAAAATGAAAAAAAAAAAAAAAAAAAACAGCTACTAGAATTGACTAGATGTTTTGTGCTCCATAATCGCAACAAATATATATTACTGGGTATTGAACTATTTTAGAATGTATCATGATTGTGAATTTCATACGTCAATGCATCTTCTGATATATATATAAGGATGCAAACATACCAATTAATTCACTTATATGCAACACTGATAAAATTGTGATAAATTTATAACTCCATAATGTTTAAAGGCATCGATCCCGACATGAATGATCTTTTGTTCTTAAACACTTTAAGAAATCTAAATGTAAAGAAACGTCTTGAATGAAGTACTGAGGTTATGTCCGTTAAGCAAGAATTAGTGCCAATACTTAATTGGTACTTTTAGAGGCTCTACTGTATTCTCGTGAAGTACAGGACGTTGTATTGTGGCAAAATTTATGTTATAGAACAAGAGAATATGTATTTATATAGAATGAAATAGAAAATAACTGATGATTTAAAAGAAACTCAGACGATAAAGTGAGCTTAGATGAAATATTAAATCCATGAGTTGTATTAACATTAATATAACTAAATGTGGGTAAATATTGTTATTAATCACTAGGAAAAAACATCTATGAATCAATATAGCAAAACCAACCATGATAAAGAAATATTATCGGACGAATAATTAACAATACACCATTTCTTACCAGTACTTGCATATACATTGAAAATCGATGTTGTGTCACAGCTTGTATCCGATATTTTGTACAGATCAGATTTCCATTTCAATTCAACCTAGTTATCATTTTCTCAACACATAGTGCACTCATGTGTCTATATGTTTAAAAATACTTCAACAAACTTGTCTGTATTAGCATTTATCACAGACATTCATTGAAGTAGCATGTCCTTATCTATTTGATAAATTGGCGAATAAGGAAATAATCAGTTCGGAACTCCTGTTGCTGAATAGTTTATTCTTAGACAAATCATTAAATCATTATATATTTTATGTTATTATTCTTTTCGGTAAATAGCTGTGTATATCATTTTAACAAAGGATTCAAACAAGAACTGTCAACATCTATTTTTGCTTTGTTATTTTTGATATGTTTGAAATAAATTGTATGTAATTTAATTTTTGCAGTCTTATTGTAATATGAAAATTGATCACAAATTAGATTGAAGCATCTACTTGTGTTAGGGTATTTATGGATAAATCATCTTGATATTGCTGTTGAAAAGCAAGAAAAAATAGGAAAAGTCTGTACTTCCCTGCAATTAACAGGTGTCCAAGTGCCAGAGTCCGTAGCCAGAGAAACAGATATTACGACGATGATATAGTTTTTTTTTCACACATTGCTTGATGATGGTTGATGGCAAGATAAACCAAACATAAAATCGATATGTGATAACAACAGAAATGTCCTATACCAAAAGGCGAAGAACATGACCTTAGCCATAGAAGTGAAAGAGGACGGTCCTATTTCGACAATAGTTCGAAAGACACAGTTGAAATACAAATACAAATTATGAGCTGGATAGAATAGTAATGCTAAAGGCTGACATCAAAAGGAACCGAACTAGAAGAAAACAAAACAGTAGCAATATCTGTATCAAAGTATCAATCTAAGCAAAGTCAATTTTACAACTAATGTGGCAAGTGAGTACACTTAAGATACTGAGTTCAAATGATAACAAAGTGAATAAAGACAAATTAAACAGAACGAGAAACGAAGAAATTAGTTATACTACATAGACAATAAGTTTGGAAATGACATGCTGAAAATCTGGGTTTCAGGGAACAAGAAATGCATTTTGAATACCGTTCACAATAATTGCATGCACGATAGCATTGATCACGCGGTAAAGTTTACCCAATGTTTATAGTGATGATAGTTTCGACTGCATAAAAGAACCCCCTACCTCTCATCCCAACTATCAGCAAATTAACGAAAGGCAGATTCCGATGGAGACACTTGATAAAGTACGAGGAAAATATGGACCAAGTGTTCCGGAAGGATTATCCCCAGCCATGTAAATCTTGGATAGTTCAAGTAAGCAATAAAATATACCACAAAGAAAACAAGATTAACAACAACGAACCTACAAGGCATACAACCAGCTGCTGAAATCACTACGCACCACTCTAATCAATCGTTTACAAGTAAAATAATCCTATCAACTGATATTGCTCTGTTAATATGGCTATTAACATCGGTTTATCATTATGTAATATTAATTGTCTGGATAATTTATTGAAGTTGTTTTAAGACGTTAAAGGCTCTGAAATTTCTTTCGATCAATTAAGGCCTCTTAGGATTTGAAATTTTGATCCTTAACATCACTGACGAGAGCTCCTGGAGTACGAAACAGCTGTATACTCATTATTTGGCAGTAATTGTATCTTATTCTAAATTTGTGTTGAAATGTGTTATCCATCTATATATTTTTGTAAAATCTTAATTTTTGTTAATTTTTGAACATCACATCGTGATGAAAAAATGGCAGAGGATTTCGATGATAACAGGAAATGTAAGATTAGGTATTTATTCTTTAACAGAAAATGTCCATCTTAGTCTTCTAAAACGCAAATGTTTCCATTTCCAAGCACATCGATGAGATAAATATGCTTCTGCAACTGAAATAAGAAAGCATAAATAGCTATAACTAAGGAATCAATTATACCATTGTAGTATTTTAGTATTTTTTGTTAGTTGCTCAGTCGTTAACAAAGACTAACAAAGCATAAAAAAGTCCATGGCTCAAAATTTCTTTATGGTAAGTAAGTTTGTATAAGCCAAATATTGAATCAAACTGCATCAGATGTTCCGTCATTCCAGAACTCTTCAGAGATGTTAAGGACCTGAATTTTCAAGCCCATAAAATCCAAAGAGATCGAAGGAAAAGTCAGTATTCAGATGCTAAGGTTCACTAGCCCCATCATTCAATAAATTCCGTAATTTTCATATAGCTGATTTTGGAACAATGCCATGTACATATATATATATTCTTAACCGTGCCAGAATCCGTATGGATTAAATCGTGTCATATAAAACATGAAATTCTACTTTTCATCACAATTATACAGGTTATGGTTTGACATGACGACAATAGATGTAATATCGAATAATTATTTTAGATGAGTGTACCTAAACGAATGTATAAATCCAGGTCCCGAATAAAACCGTACAAGAGGATTTAGTGACCTTTTCGATTTAACTGGTGATGGATGACAGTTACCTCAGCGAAATCTTAATGTGACATTTTAAATGGTTAAGTGCCTTTAAAAATCATGACATATAAAAAGTCAATCTGATCAAATGTACTTTTTGCTACAAATTATAACTGTATCCGTTTCTAAGTCAGTTGGGTATGAATGTTAAACATTCATTTTTTGTATTGTGTATTTGTCCAAAACTAATGTTAGTGATGCTATACCGTAGAAAGCCGATAGAGTTATGACTAAATACATATATAGGAAATAAAAGTACACTTAACCTACGAACTGCTCGCATGAATCAGTTTTAAAATCATGTTAAAATGTTTTTTTATGAACATTTTGTTAATTTAATCAGTTGTTATTTTTCCCAAAATCACCTTATTTTTAACTGGAAATCGCTTGTGGTCAAATCTATAGTAACCAGAAAAAACGAACAAGGTATTCATATCTTTGAATTGAAGTTAATGTTCAGAGTGTAACTCTCTTAAGGCAAACCCTTCATTTTCTACAATTCTTCTATATTTAAAAAGTGTATCTTGCATTATACAAGTTGTTATATCTCTAGCGGATTCATTAGTTGTAGACATATTTAATCCTCCTTTTTCATATTTGTTATTTCCATATAGTGAAATCCATGTCTCCTTGAGTAATGTACATGTGTTTCAGGTACTGTAATTGTACTGTATTTTGCGCAAATTTGAGCGCAATTTAATTTTTGGTAAAACAGTGTGATGATGAAATAACTTATCCACAAGTATATTCAGATAATTTACAGAAGCTCAAATTAACGCATTCATATTTTGATGCAATATGTTCAACGTGAAACCCGTTAAAATAGATAAGTTCAAAGTAATTAATTATTCTATGGTATTTTGCGTGATGTGTCTCAAAAGTCTTACGACAAGATTGATAAAGGCTATATTGAAGTTTTATGGTTGTCATCCTGCCCTTCATTCGGAAAAAAAAGTCTATTTCCTCGTACGACAAGAAGCGGATTTATCCAATGATTATATGTATGCCTTTTGGTTTACTGTTATAAAGCCTGTTCTCATTTAAGAATTTGAACTTACTGTGCATGACTTAGTCCTACGTGATGTGTTTCGTTCATGAAGCAGAAATAGAAAAAGTTTATTCTACCAGAAATCAATATCTTCGTTGTTAATAAATCATGTTTTATTTTTGTTCATGCACCTTCAATTTTCAAAACGTTACTTTAAGGTAGCATCGTGTATACTTGCACTTGTGTTAGTGTTAACAATACTCAAACGTAGTAAAGAGTTTTCCTTTTCACAGTTCTCCTTCTGGTTAATTTATTCGGTATTCATGGATTGCAAATGGGAGTTGATTAATAACAAAGCCAATTCATCACTACCAAAGATTAATTGCTTTATAAA